CTGACCTTGGTCACACACTGAGCCCTGACCCTGGTCACACACTGAGCCCTGACCTTGGTCACACGCTGAGCCCTGACCCTGGTCACACGCTGAGCCCTGACCTTGGTCACACACTGAGCCCTGACGCTGGTCACACGCTGAGCCCTGATCCCGGTCACAGGCTGAGCCCTGACCCTGGTCACATGCTGAGCCCTGACCCTGGTCACAGGCTGAGCCCTGACCCTGGTCACACACTGAGCCCTGACCCAGGTGACAGGCTCAGCCCTGACCCTGGAAATACACTGAGCTCACCCACAGCCTTCATCCCACACATATTTCATGGACCCTCACTGCTACCCCTGGAACAGGTCTGCTCAGAGCTTGCAGAGAGATAACGGTCCCCAGGGACCCCCCTCCCCCCTCTGCTTCCTCCCCACCCCATAAGAGATGCCGCCTCAGGGCTGGGCTCATAGTAGTATGTCCTAAAGAGCATGGTGCTGGGAGGGGGATGCCCCGTGACCTTGGATGAAACCCCCTCTTCTGGGGCTCAGTTCCCACACCCACCAGGTGAGGGGCCAGGTCTGGTCCTATGACACGGCTTCTCCACAACAGGGCATGGCTGTCACCATGGGTCTGGCCGCAGCCCGCCACCTGGACGATGTCTGGGCCGTCCTGGAGCAGTTTGGCCGGAGTGCACCCGTCAGGTGCAGCCTCCACAGCTTCTCCCCAAAGGTACCTGCTCGGGGATCCTCAGGGGTCCTAGCAAGGGGCTGGGACATTGGAACCCCTGCCCTCCATGAAGGTCCAAGCCCCTACACCTGGTCCCAGGGGTGAGGCTTCCAGTCCCACCTCATCCCCCACCTGCTGGGTGACCTTGCCCAAATCACTCGACCCCTCTGTGCTGTTTCCGCTTTTGAGTACTGAGTCCTCCCTCCCTGGCTGTTGGGGAGTGAGATGAGCTGGGGATCTGAAGGGCCTGGCACGCAGTACCTGCTCAAGAAAGGGCCACTAGCTGTGGTTGTCTGGGCAGGGTTTATGTTCATTAGCCCTTTTGCCACGTGACTTACCTGAAACACAAGACAAGGGTGGGAGACCACAGCCACACACCACCCCACTCTCAGCATCCGCAAACAACTCCCGGCTGGCAGGAAACAGGGCCTGAGTTGGCTGCATGTGGAGCCGTGTTTGGGACAATGGCAGGGAAGGGGACCTCCCAGCTGCCCCTGGATTTGTTCAGAAGGAACAGTTACAGCTAACCACTGTGGGTCCAGCAAGGGTTGGCGACCTCCTCAGGGTCACATAGCCGGCACGTGGCAGAGCAGGGACCAGGACCCTGACCCAGACTCACCGGGGTGCCAGATCACGGAGGAGCAACAGAGCCATATATGGTCCTGTGGTCTCTGGGGTGGAGCAGCCGCCACCACCCTGCCCTGAACTCTGGGTCTCTGGAGGCACCAGGGTCTCCCCCAGGGAGGCAGCTGCACGTTACCATCCCTCTAGGTCAAGGCACAACCCCCTAGACCCCAGCCACCCGTCCAGCAGGAAGGGAGTGAGGTGGGATGGGAACTGGGCTCCTGGGAAGGGGCTCCCACAGCAGGGGAAGGGAGGGGCTTGGGCTCCCACCAGCTCCAACAGAGCCAGGCTCCCCCACATACACCCCTCTGTGGCCCCACAAGGCCCACCCCAACCCCAGAGAGACAATCCTGTTTCCCTATATTCCTAATGAGGTAAACTGAGGCCCACCACCCCAGGACACTCTCCCTCCAGTACCCTGCTAGGGCCTGGGGCCTCTTCCCCATTGCTCCCCCAGAGGAGGGGTCTGCGGGGCCTTGATGCTCCTCATCTGCCCTGCCTCCACCTGCCATGGTCAGGGCTCGGAGGACTTCCGGTGGAAGTGGGCCAGCAGCACCATCCTGCTCGCGTACGGCCAGATGGCGGCCAAGGCCAAGGCGCACATCCTCCCATGGGTGGACAACGTCTTGTCCAGGATGATCTTCTACTTCCACTACAGCTCCTGGGTATGGCGCCATTCCCAAGTCCAGCCTCCCACCACCATCAGGGGCCAACTTGGACTCCAGAAGCTGCAGCCCAGCCCAGGGCCCGGCAGAAGCTGAGTCGAGAATTCCAGGACCCCAGGGCTTGGAGCGACCTCCTCACCCACTTCCCATCCCAGTCTGGAGTCTGAAAGAACTGGCCTGGCCTCCCTATTGTCCCACCCCTTCACCCATCCTAAAGCTATCTGGGCATTTGTGATGACCCCTATAGCACCCACACTTCCCTGGATTTTCACCTTTGGCGGGGTGGTATTTGGGAGGCCAGGGTGATGTCCTGTCATGCCCAGGGAATGCCCAGATGACAAGCCCTGACTATGTGCTCTACACCAGAGGTCTCAAACCCAGGGAGGCTTGGGGGCCTGGCAGTGTGGTGTGGCTACAGCACACCTGAGAGCATGTGCCCTGCCGTGGAGGTGGCCGTAACGCAGTTCCTGCTGATGCTGCCACGTGGGCGCTGGGGCTCAGGCTGGCCCCTCCGGCATTGCTGGATGCCACACAGAAAAGTAGGACATTGGGGTCTCACAGGCACTTTCCTGATACTTAAATGTAGTCAGTGGTATACTCATATTTTTAACGAAACCCCATAGGTACAAAAAAATAAAATAAAAGCCCCACATGTATGGGCCACCAGCTGGTGGGCTCTGCTGACCCCGTTTCCAGCAATGGCCCTGCTCTTGCTCTCCTTGCCCTCTCTGCCCACTCCCTGACTGGCTCTCCTCATTCCAGGATGACACCCTAAAACAGAGCTTCCTCACAGCTGTCCTGCTGCTGGTAGGGGCCATCAGCCGGAATGAGGGTGCCCACAGCTATGAGTTCTCCCAGGCCCCTGAGCTCCTGGACTGTCTGATGGTGAGAGCAAGGTCCTGGGACTGAGGAGGAGCTTGGTGGGGAGGAGACGGTGGCATCCTTTCTCAGACCAGCAGCGTTTCTGGACAGGCACCCCCTGGGAAAGGAGTGGTGGGGTTTGATTTCTGGAGCATGACCAAGCCCCTCAAAAGCTTTCGAATTTGGAAGCACATCTATGTCTTCTGCTTCACTTATGGTGACCCTGAGCCAGGGGCAGATTTTCCAAAAGGCAAGGTAAGCATGGTGCTCACCTTGCTTACCAGATCATCTGTGGTGAACAGTGTCATGTTCTTTCGCCACATCAAAGATTCGGCTTCTAGGTACGGCCGGCATCTGTCTCTCTCCCAACCCCACAGCACCTTCCTACAGAATCAAAGCCTCTTTTCAAATTTACAGTCCCTGATGGGAGGATGATCCAGTAAGCAAAGTAAGCCGATGTGGTGAAACTCATGTGAAATTGTTCACTACAGATTAGTAAGTAAGCACAAGTAAGCCCAGATGATGAGCCTGAGGCTTGGAAAGGTCAGCTCCATCCATTCTGCAAAGATTGACCTAGCTAGTAACTAGTGACTTGGCCTCACAGAGCTTCCAGGGTAGTGAAGGAAACACACAAGTGACCGGACAATTACAACAACAACAACAACAACAGCTCCCATTTATTGAACTCCCACTGAGTGCCAGACATGTGGGCCAGACACTGTGATAACTGCCTAGCACATCTTGCTTCATGAATAAACTGAGGCTCAGAGTAGTTTGGAGACCTGTCCAAGATCATACAGCTAGTACATGGGTAACCAAGGTTCAAATGTGATCTGTCTTATGATAAAGTCTATGCTCTAATTTCTCTAAGTGGTGGCCAGGTCACAGAGGGCCCTCAATGCCAGGGTGAGGTCTTAGGCAGCGATGAGCCCTGGTGTCAGAAGTGGGATCAGCCCAGACACGTGTGACTCAGCCTGCATCTGGGTACTTGCAGATTTTGATGGAGAAGGAGTCCCCGGACACTCTGTGTACATCGGTTCGCCAGCAGACCATCCACATCATCTCTAGCCTCTGGTAGGCATCCTAGCCCCTTGCAGGGCCTTCCTCAGTGCCTGATAGCAGCCTCTCAGCTCTGGTTTAGTGCTGGCAGGGCAACAAGAGAGGAGGGGAGAGGTCCAAAGTCAAAGGCTATGCTGGACAAGGCTAGGGGCCTGAGCCAATACAGGCCAGGGTGGGAGGGGGTGGGCAGCTGGTGGAGGCCAGAGCCTGTGGTCTGAGGCAGAGCCACTCCCCAGGCTGAGCCAACCCCTCACCAAACACCAGGAGATACTCAAGGTCAGAGTAGCCATTTATGGCAAGACTCCAGCTGTGGGCAGGGTCTAGTGAGCAGAAGCCAGCACTAGGGGAAGGAGCATGAAGGAAAACTGTATCTGGACCTGGGCCAACACCCAGGGAAGGGAGGGAGGCTAGAGTCCAGAGGGCTCAGGTATCCCAGGGCCAAAGGCACAAGCCCTGATTAGCCATCTGCCTGCAGGTGGGGCAAGGGTGTACCTGGCCTCTCTGCTGGCCAGGACAAGGTGAGGCAGCAGGGGCATCAGGGCTCCTTGAGGTAGGCACTTTGTCCTGTTGTCTACAGGGCACAGGCCCAGCCCAGGTCCTAGTCCTGGCAGCGGCTGGGAGGGTCTCCGCAGACTCTGAGCCAGATCAAGAGGGATGTGAGGGACAGTCAGCTGACACATTAACACCACCCAGAGCTTTCCATGAATCTCCCCCCTCTCCCTCCGCACGCACAATAACCCCGACCAGGAAAATATTCCCCTTTTACTGGCCCAGGGAGATCAATGCTACCTGCTCTCCAACTGCAGAGGGGAGAGCACAGGCCGCAAACGTGCAGGCCGGGCACTGGGGTGGCTGGGCATTGGGCAGGGCGGGCATGGGGGGTGGGGGCTTTAACCACAGAGGCAGCAGTGCAGGTGGGTAAGAACAGGTAGACCAGGTTCAAACCCCACCTCCACCAGAACAGAACCTCTCCGAGCCTCAGTTTCCTAATGTATTCACTTCACAAATCATTATTGAGCACCTACTATGTGCCACGCACAAGTCAGGGTGCTGGAGACCCAGCTGTGCGCCAGCAGAGAACATCCCTGTTCCCCGAGAGCTGCAGCTCCAGGAGGAGAGGGGAGAGACAACGAGCAAACCACATACAACCTGTCGCCTGTCAGGGCCGGATGAGGATGATGTGGGAAACCCAGCAGGGACAGCGAGGGGGCAATCTCCACTGAGGGTCAGCCCTGTGGACCTGGGCCCTTTCCTGCCTGGCCATGCGGGCTCAGGGGCAGCATGGCCGGGTCCCCTCTCACAGCCCCTCTGTCTCTCCAACAGTAAGCTGAGGCCCCTGCCCAACCTGGAGCAGAAGTCACGGCTCCTGTCTGTCTGCTTCCGCAGCGTGTTTGCCCTGCCGCTGCTGGAGGTTCTGGAGAAGCACACCTGCCTCTTTCTGGAGCCACCCAACATACAGGTGCGCCAGGTAGCTGAGAGGGGCTGCTCAGGGGGAAACCGGCTCCACTGCTCCCAGGGGCTTGAGAAGGGCAGGCTGGAGGGCAGGGCCCCTGACAAGCCCACAGATCCAGGCCAGGGGACCTTGGGTATGTTCCTTAACTGCTTGGAACCACCCTTTCCCCACCTGTAAAATGCCCTGGTGGCACAACAGTTAAGTGCTCAGTTGCTAACTGAAAGGTCAGTGGTTCAAACTCACCCAGTGGTTCCATGGGAGAAAGGCCTGGCAATCTGCTCCCATAAACGTTACAGCCAAGAAAACCCTACAGAGCAGTTCCACTGTGTCACATGTGGTCACAATGAGTCGGAATTGACTCAACTGCACCCAGCAACAACAGGAGTCCCTGGGTGGCACAAATGGTTAAGTGCTTGACTACTAGTTCAAACCCACCCAGAGGCACCTTGGAAGACAGGCCTGGCTATCAGCCTCTGAGACGCCGCAGCTTTGCAAACCCTATGGAGCAGTTCTCCTCTGCACACACGGGGTCACCATGAGTTGGAATCAACTCGACGGCAACCAGCAACATCCTTAGAGCTGATGCTGTTTAACTCGGGATAAAGTGAGATCGCGGGTGTGCGGTGCAGAAGGGGTGCTCTGGAAATAGGTCAGCCTGGTGCTGACCAGCCCCTGGTCTGCAGGGCCTTGAAGGGTTGGAGTGGCTGGCCAGGGCCCAAGGGCTCATGCTAGCCCAGCCACCAAGTCCCTCCACACCTGGACAGAGTCACCTTCTCTGCAGGTGAGCTCAGTCTCACTGCAGCAGCTACTTGAACTGGTCCCCACCTGGCCACCCCCACGAGGTTGGAGAGAGGAGCCCTCTTGCTCTCTGGTGGGCAAAGCAGACCCCCGCCTCTTTAGGAAGCCGCCCACCCCCTCCCCAGTTCTGTTAGCAGAAGCCCTGCGGACTGGGAGACGCGGCCATGGCTGGAGGCTGCCACCAGGGGGCGCACGCCGCTTCAGCGTGCTCAGCCACAGCGCACGCGCAGGGTGTGCAGCTGAGGGGAGGGGCGCCGTGTTAACTGCGCGCCTAGTAGGCGGCAGGGCGGTTGTATTTGTTATGGAGCCTGCAGATGCCCGTCCTAAGGGAGAGGAATAGGCGCAGAGAAATGAAGGCGTCTGATGGGTCAGGGTGTGGACCCCACCCCTGTCCCCGGGACCTGCTCTCCACACCGCACCCCGAAGCTGGGACCCAGCACTGTGGGCTGGGGTGGTGCGAGGTCGAGGGGTCCCCTCCGCGGCCCTCTAGAAGGGTGGCGTCTCCTGTACCCCACCCACAGGAGTCCAGGGTGCCCCTGTTACTAGATGACACCGCGTTGCGCACCCAGGGGGCGCATACCCGCCATGCGCTGGGCTGAAGCCCTCCCTTCATTGCCACCAATGCCCACCTCCACCCTGGCAGTTCAGGCTGGGTTCACGCCCAGGTCACAAGTGAGGAAAGCACGCTCAGGGAGGTGGAACGAGGTCCCCGGACGGCCACGGATCGTGGGCCACGGATGGGAGGGGACTGGGCTCTCTCTGAGGCCCTCCCCACTGGGCAGCCCGGCTAGAGAAGCAGTGGGGGTGGAGTGCAGCGCAAGGGAATCAGGGCCCGTGGTTTCCGGGCCCAGTGCAAGACGAGAGTGCAGGCCCTGGTTCAAAACATGTTAAGAATTTCCAGATAGGGACCGCAGAGCATTAAACCAAGCGTGGGCCCTGGTGAGCGCGCAGGGCCCCGGTGAGCGCCGGCCCTTCTCGTGAGCGCAGAGCCCTGGGCGGCCGCACAGTCGCCCACCTGGGAAGCCTGCCCGAAAGGAGTGGACTTGCCTCTGTCACTGAGCAGCCCTGTGCCCTTGGGCGCAGCCGGCCACCTCTCGCCCGCGGTCTCCTCGTCTGCCAAACAGGGTGATCAGGGCTGATGCGCGGCCCCTTCCCAGGCACAGAGGTGGGTTCCGTGGTGGGCAGCGACACCACCCACAGGGCCAGGCCGTGGGAGTGCTCGGCCACTAGGAGGGTCGGATTACCCAGTAAGCAAGGTACGCTCGGGCTGATTTGTGCTTACTTACTAATCTGTAGTGAACGTCAATGTGGTGAAATCCATGTGAAATTGTTCACGACAGACGATCTGGTAAGCAAGATAAGCATTATGCTTACTTTCCCTGTTGGATAATCCGCCCCTGCCACTGGCACGGAGACAGCCAGGGCCCGCAGCTCCAGGCTGGACCTCAGCCCCTCCCCCGCCCCCCGCGGGGTTCTGCCTCCTGACACCCCCACCCTCGCCCCCTTACAGGCCCTGTTCGACAAGACAGCGGAGGCTCTGGACCAGCTGCTGCAGAGCTTCATGGTGCAAACCCCCACGGCTGTGGAGCTGCACTTCCTGCTGTCGGTGAACGAGGGGCGCGGGGCAAGGGAGGGGCTCCTCAGCCCTGTGCGGAGCCCAAAGGGGCCCGTAGGGCTACCTGGAGGAGGCAGAGCCTGGACTGGGGGTCTGGGAGTGGCCTGGGCACAAGGAGGCTTGAGGGCTGGCCCTGTTTAGAGGTCATGGTGATTTGGGGCAAAAGACGGAGGGGCTGCAGCAGGGGTGGACTGGTGGTGAGTGGCCTTGAATGCCGGCACTAAAGGAGCTGTGAGGAAATGGGCCTCGGCCCTGGCCGTGGTGGCCCGTCCTCCCCCACAGAGAACTTCCCTGAGGCAGAGTCCCCAGTCTCTCACCTGCCCTCCGGGGGTCCCACCTGGACAGGAGGGGTCCAGTCAACCCAGGGGCAGGGCGGGGCCACCTCAGGACAGAGGGATTGACTGGGGGCTGTGCTTTGGTCTTGGAAAGAAAAGGCTGGACCCTGGGAAGTGGTGGAAGCTGAGGGGGTGGAGCCTGGGCAAAGGGGGAAGAGGGCTTTGGTGGTGGGTGGAGCCTGGGCCCAGGGGAAGGGTGGAGCCTTGCTTAGGGAGTGGAGACTTGCTTGGAATGGCGCCTGGACTGGGGACAGAGCCTTGCCTAGAGGACGGGGCCTGGCCTAAGGGTGGATGAGGCCTGGTTGAAGGGGGAAAATGGGAGTAGTGGGTGGAGCCTGGGCCCAGAGAGGGGCACAGCCTGTGCCGAGGGGGTGGAGCCTGCCCTGAGAGTGGGTGGGGCCTGATAGGATGGGCGGGTCCTTGCCTAGGGGCGGAGCCTGGCCCGAGGTGGGAGGGCACTGGCCGTCAGTGGCCAGGGCTAGGGTCCGCAGCCGCAGCGCCTTCCGCTGACCCCTGCCCACCGCACAGCACATGTACATCTGGCTGGCATCGGAGAAGGCACACGAGCGGCAGCGGGCGGTGCACAGCTGCATGATCCTCCTCAAATTCCTGAGCCAGAACCTCCACCTGGACGTGAGTACCGGCTCGCCTCCCACGCCCACTCCGCAGCTGCTGGGCCTCCTGCCTTCCCCCACGGCCCTGCCAGGGCTCACGAGGTGCAAGGACACAGGGGATTTCTGAGCCTCGTGCGAGCTGGCCTGGGCTGCATGCCTGGCGGGTGTCCCTCCTGATCTCCCATTTCACACATGGAGAAACAGGCTCGGCAGGGAAGCCCCCTGCCCACGGCCTCACGCTGGGCTCTGAGCCCAGGTCGCCCTGACCCTGCAGGCTGGGCTCCAGTCAACTCACCTTGAAGCCTTGGGCAGGGCCTTCAACCTGAACCTGAGCTTCTCACCTGTAAAATGGGAGGAAGTGTCTCTTCCTTAGAAGAATGAAGTGGGAATCAGATGAGGTGGAGACCCTGCACCCAGACTGGGGTTACCCATCATTGCATTGAGCACCCCCCACCCC